AAAAGTCATTGTGTATGGTCTTATCTGTGAGAAGGGAGGAAATCCTGTAGTGATCTGTCATACAGTGACTCTGAAAAGGTTCTGACTGTTGTGTGATGAAGCCAATGTTCAGAAATGCCCATAATATTATTCAGTTTTCAAAGTATTTTTCTTTGGAAGAATACTTGGCGATCAAATGCTTCACCCAAACAGAGCCGTCCTTGTCAGCTTGTTGAGTTTGGCTCTGATGCTGCTTCCCTGTAAGATGATGGTAGAAGGTCTTGTACCCTCCAAAACATAGTTGTGTTTCTGCTAAATAATTACTAATAATAACTAAATAATGAGTAATTTTTGTGAAAAACTTTCATAGCTTTTTCAAAAATTATCTTTCAAAATGGTTATAAAAACTATCATTGTTTACAAAAAAAGCAGCACAAACTATTAAATATGATTTTAGCTGATTATTACTTGGCTGGTACAGTTTTTGCAAATTTTTTTTTTTTTTTTTTGACATTTGAAAGCTGAAATTAAACTCTAGTATAACCAAAGACATTGATATGTAGGTACGATATATAGCTTCTCTCCTCAGACAGACATTTTAATGTAACATAACCTAAATGTAAGGATTCGTATTTTATGTGTGTTAATTTAGTTTCTGTGTCGTCTTGTCTGCCCAGGTTGCTCCCAGCTGTGTCTCGTGTTCCCTGATTACCTCTTGTCCATTTAATCCCACCTGTGTGTGTGTTTCCGTTTGGTCCTTGTCTTAGCTGTTGTTCGTCATGTCGTTGTGTTAAGTTTTCTATTGCTACCAGGGTCTGAGCTTCTCACTTCAGTGCTCACCTGCTGCCTGGACTTTTGTACTCTCTGATTTTCTTAATTAAATCATCAAACTCAGTTGGTGCCTCTGCCTCTCCACAACCACAAACCATGACACTAAACGATTTTAGAGAGTAAATTATATTTTCATTTGAAAAGATTCACAAGAATTAAAATCTTTTTATGCTGATGAGAAATTTAAAAATGTTTAACGGAAATATTTGCCTGTGTAAAAATTACTAATACTTTGGATTTATGAAGTTTCAGGTAAATCATTAAACATAAAATGTGAAGACCAGGAATGGAGCCTTGTGGGACCCTCAAAAGAAAGTCAGGCTCAGAGGATTTGATCCCATCAACGTACAACCTTAAATGTTTGGTAAAAATTACTTTTTTCATGGGACTGATTATACAGAACAACGAAAGATTAAATAGAAAATCATTATAGTAGATAATTGGTGCCAAATGTCTCATTTAAATCTAAAAAGTTTTCACCTGTAGAACTTTGCTTGTCAAATAATATTTATAAATATATAAAACCCTGCCTGAGAAGAATAATATCTGAATAAAATGGAGGAAGAGTCAAAAGCAATGCTTAATGCCATAAATCTAGAGAAGGTGCATGTGAGTGTAACGTCAGCACCGTCGTTGGCCCTGGGTACAGCCGTTGGCAGGTCAATATCACAGTTGTTTGTTGGTCTTTTCCATTTCTGTATTTAGAACTGATTCAATGAGTCAGATGTCAAATTGCTTCCTTCTTTTAGCTGTAACCAAGTTCCAGAGCACCCAACAGTCTGGATCAATGACCAGGAGAATCACAGACTTGCTATACATCACTGAGGAGAGGACAGGTCCCAGAAA